ATACTAGCCGTACTCAGTTCAGTCTGTCACTCAAGAAAGTAGTAATGGGATGAAGATACTCTTTTATTACATCGAACGTGGATACTGCTCTATTACATAGATAGCGTTTTACACCCAGAAAAAGGTTAGCTAACAATATTTCTTTCAACACATGATTTGGTAACTATAACTAAATAATGTAACTGTAACCAAATTATGTGTACGGAGAAATATATTTACCTGACTTTTTTCTGGGTGTATTACATCTCAGCAACTATGACAGCAGTAGTTCGACTTTACCCTCATTCTGTTAGCATGCTTCCCGATCACGCAGGCGCCCGTGATAGCCCCGATTACATGCCGAAGCAGTGGTCGCTTCTGATGTAAGAGTGCACTGAGAAAAGAGTTTAGTTACGACAACTAAATATGTTGTTCTCAATAAATTATTTGGTTATAGTTACATATTTGTTTATAGTTACCAAATCATGTGTTGAGAGGAATATATTTGGCGGACTTTTTTCTGAGTGTGGGTTCGACCTTCTCTTATCTAATTTAGGTCGGATGTGTGGTGCTATCCTACATGCGGACCTTGTAGATCATCTTCTATTAACTTATATTTAAGATCATTTTCTATTAAATGGCGAGGCTGCAATAGTTAGGTAAGAGATTCCGTGATATTTCAGAAGCTTGTCCTTCTTATAGACACGCCATTACATGCAGATGGATTTCCGTGAGTATTTGCCTGAGTGGCGATCACATTACCACTGTTGCAGACTCATCCTATTCATTGGCTCTGTGGATTTCTTCTATTTTCCAATGAACAAGAACACAAGAAGAAGACTGAAATGAGCTCAACCCACGGAGCTTCCTAAAATATTATAAACACAAAATATTTGTTTTATATGGATATGTGCATGCATGTACGTGTGTAACTGCTTGTCTTAAATGTATTATGATGTATTCAAAATTGTTGTTCTATGTTCTAATTATTTCTGAATTCTTTAAATCATAATCGAAAGACGATGGTCTAAGACTACCGCATTCCTACACGCAATCTAAATTGCTTATTGTCCTGTCTATGATAGATTGTAATCAAAAAGGAGGAAAAAAACACAGATAAGAGAGATATATTTACATTGACCGAGCCAATTCCATTTTGCGTTCCTGCAGTTAATTTTATTGGTAATTCAGAGGACGCGAGTGATCATAACCGGGGATTCCTTTATAAAGTTGAAAAAAAATAATAATAACCAAGTCGTTTGACCTGCAGAACCACTTGCTACCTCAAATGAACTTATCCAGAAGTTCGCCTTCGCCTTCGTTATC